GTGTACGAGCGCGAAATTTCACTATTTTCGCCGGTCGCTTAGCTGGAGGAGGGCGAGCGATTGTCGCCTCACTGTACAGGCTCCATAGGAAATGAATGGAGAGCGAGCGACGTCGCCTCCCGTGTGTCGAGCCCTTAAGTTCTAAAGCTGGAGTTGTACATTTTTATATGTGTTTTAAAAAATYTCTCTGCATCTACAGACTGAAGCAGTGAAATGCTTTTTAAGCATCATGGCCAGTTGGAATAAAAATGGAAAATAGCCTTTTGGCTTATTCTGGCTTTTTTAACTTATGAAATGTCACTGGTTTTATTAAATAGCAAACCCCTTTAAAAAAATCTAATCAAATGAAAACGGTTAATAACTCTATTTTTTTATTTTTATTTTTTTTACCTTTACTCCATACGGAAGGCAGATTTTGACTTTGAACAAATTTTTTTTTACAAAATTACAGCTTTCCCCAAATTCCAAAAAGGCTATTCCACTATTGGGTGTACATCAGACAATAAATGTAAAATAACCATTGAAATGAACAAATAACAGAGATGTACTTACAGAACAAAGCTGTAACAAGATGCATGTAAAAAAAGGTAAACAAGTAAAATGAATACTTTAAAGTAAAACACAATCAAAGACAAAAAAGAACCAATGTTTTGGTTGTACCTTGAACTGCATTTGGTGAGTTTAGGCACAGTGACGTGTATAGACAGTGTCTGCTGTCTAGTCCTCGTTTACACAAACAGGTTTTCCAAAACCATTCTTTTATTTGCCATTTCTAAAAATATGTCTTTATGAATTGAAGACTAACTCAGYTGGACACACAAAATGCTAAAGATGCTACACAATAGTTGTTTTTGTTTTCTTTAGTGGACTCAAAGTTAGCAGAAMAAATTGTTGGTCCATTAACAGTTTACAAAGTTAGTGAAAATGCTAATCCACCCATCAGCTGAATGAAAAGTTAGCTTAGAACGAGGCAACTAGGCAGAAAACATAGCTTTTATTCTACTCTGTGACGTCAACAGTAGCACAACCAGCTACTGTAACCGCTGTTGTGCGTAAAATGCTCTCTCGTGCTTTCTACTTGGCTACTGTAATAACAGTCTACACACAACATTATTTTCTCATTCATAAAATGCTAAAATCGAGGACATTTCCAGGTAAATTGAGGACATCTCGTTACCCTAAGCAGAAGCCAGTTGGTCTGCTAAGGTTTCCAAAGTTAGCAAAAACGCTAACACACTAAACAAAAAGCTAGGTCCGCTATTAGCTGTTAGCACATTAGCGGAACTGTAGGTACAAACTGTAAACATGAAACTAAGGGGTTTACTAAAACGTTAAAAGGACGTTTCTTTCTGGACACAAGGCTGAAACACTAAAAAACATTAGTGCAGTCACAGAACTGTTCCCGTGCCGATGGCCAGAAGGTTGGAGAGACAAAGTATGGACTTTAACTCAAAGTTCGATGGTTATTCCACTTACCCGGCATCGGTCCAGTTGTACTTTGAGGGGTTCCGGCTCAGACGCTGGAGGTGCCTGAACTTTGAGCCAGTTCTCACTGTTGTCCACCGCCTGCTCACACTGCTCATACAAGCTGTAGAAGGCCAAAACCTGCCAAACAAAAATACACAAAAAAACAACAAATATTTCTAGTTACTGTCTGACTACGCCTGTTTACATTCAACTGTTCACATTGACTGATTGTCATGTGAACAGGGGGAGTTGAAGAAATTTATCAGTCATTTAGATACTGATTTTAAAAGCACTACACCATTTCATAGTTTTCCTTTTTAAGTATCGAGTCATAAACTATTGTGTAACTATTGTCTTGATTAAAATAGTTTTCGTTACATGCCTGAAACACCAAAACAACACATAGATAAACCCGTTAATGAACCATAAGGAAAGTGATTTTGTTGGAGTGTCTGCTACTCAGCTGTAGGCCTGTAGGGGGCGTGCCAGACACTGAAGAACCATGTTAAAATGAGCTGCACTTCCGGGTTTCTGGCTTATGCCGAGTTGATGACGCCTTGCTCTTCTGGTTAAGACAAAGTTAAAGAACTAATATCTTACTTTCCTCCTTTCTTAAACTACCCTGCCTTGCCAAAAACCTAAGTTAAGTACCTG